ATATCTGACTTAGTTCATAGTACATTGGATCAGTATATCTGACTTAGTTCATAGTACAGAATATCTGACTTAGCTCATAGTACAGTATATCTGACTCAGTGCGCAGTACAGAGGGTCAGTATATGTGACTCAGCTCAAGTACAGTGGACCAGTATATCTGACTTAAAGGCAAAAAATGCTGGGCTGAACTCCATGTCAGAAATGAGAAAGCTGCATGCAGCAGAGTGGAATGGAGGAATCAGATACAAACCCTATGTGACATCGCACACAAAGGATGATGATGTATAGTGGGCAATTATAACTGAATTAGTTCATTGAACAGTGGGTCAGTATTAGTTCACTGTACAGTTGGCCAATATATCACAGTTCACTGTAAAGTTGGCCAGTAAATCTTAGTTTATTGTACAGTTGGACAGAATATCTTAGTTCACTGTAAAGTGGGTCAGTAATCTTAGTTCACTGTAAATTGGGCCAGTATATCTTAGTTCACTGTACTGTGGGCCAGTATCTCTTAGTTCACTGTACAGTTGGACAGTATCTCATAGTTCACTGTACTGTGGGCCAGTATATCTTAGTTCATTGTACTGTGGGCCAGTATATCTTAGTTCACTGTAAAGTGGGCCAGTATTTCTTAGTTCACTGTAAAGTGGGTCAGTATCTCTTAGTTCACTGTACTGTGGGCCAGTATATCTTAGTTCATTGTACTGTGGGCCAGTATATATTAGTTCACTGTACTGTGGGCCAGTATATCTTAGTTCACTGTACTGTGGGCCAGAATATCTTAGTTCACTGTAAAGTGGGCTAGTATATCTTAGTTCACTGTACAGTTGGCCAATATATCACAGTTCACTGTACAGTTGGCCAATATGTCACAGTTCACTGTAATGTTGACCAGTATTTTTTTAGTTCAACAGTGACATTCGATACAGGACGTGCTGATAGATGATGATGATGATATAAATGGGAGGTAACAATGTTAATATTCTGTGCCTTTTTTTTTTTTTTTTGCAATGTTTCACATTTTGCAGGAAGAAGGGCATTGAACAAATTTAAAAAGCAAAGAAATAATTTACAACATACATCATCACCATCATGTAGCAGGTCCTTTGCAGAATGTCGCTCTCATCACGGTCTGCCTGAAAGAAACTCAGTCTCTCGATAGCTCTCCCACCCCATGCACTTTCATACTCAAGGAGTCACTTATAGCCTGTGCCCATCTTTGTGTTGGTCGGCCCCTGCCCCTCCTTCCTGTTACCATGCCTTCTGTTACAATTTTTTTCCAATCCATCGTGGCGCTTGATATGACCAAAATATTTCAGCTTCCGAGAAAGGATGCTGTTTATTAGCCAATCTACCCTGATATTCAGATCTTTCCAGACTGTGTCACTATTTCTCCTCTTCTTTGTCCAAGATATTCTGAGACTCTTTCTATAGCATTTCAGCTCAAAAGAGACACAAAATCAGCTTTAGAATGAAATTCTTCTTTTTTTTTTCATTTTTAATTATAAACTATAATTTCTTCAGCGTGACTATTAAAATGTTTTTTTCAAGTACAGGGAATCCATGGCAAACCTTTAAAAGAGAGAGAGGTCAGAAGGTCACAGCCTTATAGGTTCCAGTAATACATGGTTAGGGAGGCCCTATGTCCCGATTTTACAGGGACAATCCCATTTTTTCCCAGTGTGTCTCAACTGTCCAGTTGGTACTCCCAAATTAACGTCATGTTTTATAAAAATCTATGATAAGCTCTAGAATAGATATACACTTATATACACATATATAAACTAAAATGGAAAACATATAGATCCATACACTATATTTTTGAACCAAAAAAACAAAACACACAATCCAATTTGGGGGAAAAAAGTTTTAATATTAATTGACTAGCATGGCTGATGCAATTTATAGGCCTTATGTTCGTAAAATATATTAGTTCCTAAATGATTCATCAAAATAAACATTATACATTTTTTTTTTGGTGGGAAAGGATGGGGGGGGGGGGGGAGGAGTGGGGGAACTAATTTTTTCTTTTTTCAGCTCAAAATATTAGCAGGGTGTCCCGTTTTCAGCTCAAGATTTTAGCAGGATGTCCCATTTTCTGCTCAAAATATTAGCAAGGTGTCCCATTTTCAGCTCAAGATATTAGCAGGGTGTTCCATTTTCAGCTCAAAATATTAGCAGGATGTCCCGTTTCCAGCTCAAAATATTAGCAGAATGTCCCGGTTTTTTTAATCTAAAAATTTTAGCAGAATGTCCCATTTTTAAATTTCCAAATATTAGCAGGATGTCCTGTTTTCAGCTCAGAATATTTGAAGAATGTCACATTTTTTTTACATCTTAAAATATTTGCAGGATGTCACGTTTTCAGATCAAAATATTAACAGAATGTCCTGTTTTCAGCATAAAATATTAGCAGGATGTCTCGTTTTCAGCTCAAAATTTAAGCAGAATTTCCCTTTTTTTAAAATCTCAAAATATTAGCAGGATGTCTCGTTTTCAGCTTCAGATATTATAGTCACGCTATACATGGCCGAACAAAAGATCTAACAAAACGAAAACACAACAGGCATATCTAAAAGACACATTATATGATGAAATATCAGAACACTTCTCTTTACACAAACAGCTTTTATTTCACAAATGTAACACACCAGAGACTACTCCTGAAGAGCCGATAAACATGATAGAGAATCATCTTTTACAGTCAGTGTACTCCAGCTAAACAGCTTCATTTATTTCTGTTGTGTACACATGAGATGCAATGAGAAATACCAGGCATTAAGATGCTGGTGTTTTCTCTGTTAAAGATTTTTTTAAATGGATATTATACAGGTAATAAATATTTATTTCAACAGAGACAAACCAATCACAAAGGACTAAGAAAACAAGTTTAAATAACCACCTCATCTGAGGTGTATGTGATAAAAGAAAGAAAAAAGTATCTAACAACTATTTCCTTGCTTGAGGTGGATCTGGTAGAAAAGAAAAGTAAATAATGAATATTTCCTCGCTTGAGGTTATGTTGTTTTAAAGTAAAGAGACCCTTTTGTGTTATTTCAGTCTTATTGAGCATAAGAAATATATTTTATAGACCAATTGGCACTAGATGGGTAATATATTCAGCAATACGCCGGCTGCCTTTATTTCCCTGGTATCCCCTTAAGGCTTGGGTGGGGTGGGGGGGGGGGGGGGTGTTGAACAAATTTAAAGTGTCCATGAAATAATTTACAGAACCACCCCACAAAATCAACCCCATTTTTTCATTTCTTATTATAAATCATTAGCGTGACTATGACATTTTTTTTTTATTATGGGGATTCATAGTAGACTTTTGCAAAAAGAGAGGTCAGAAGGTCACAGCTGCTTGTTTGTCCATCTTTGGGACTGTAATTGTTCCAGGATATGAGTCTTTGGTGTAAATCTGTTTTATAGATGCAGCTTGTTCATGGACCAGTTGTTCCTTATCTTTTAGACAGATGCAGTCTGACTTGAAAGGAAGCCATCCCAGTGAACTGGGCATATTCTGATAGCCCTCAAACAATTTGTTGTGTGTTGCATCAACAGATACTGTTTGAGCAACGCCGTCACTTATCACCCCAGCCTCCTATCCGTACCAGCACAGGACAACATCTAGCCTGTCATACATTAATTCACTACCAAGTGGTGCAGAACCGGCTAGTCTATCTGCCTGCTTATAGACTTGAGTTTTGCATGAATCTTGTCTGATCTAGCTTATTTGCTTGCATACCGCTGGTTCCTTACCTCTCATTCAGATGCAAGCAGGCTGCGAAGAAAACACTACTAATTAGTTACAGGGCAGTGGGTCTGTTCTTGTTCAACCCACACTTGGGCCCTAAAACCCACAGGGAAAGCAGCCAATGTCAGCTTAAACTCCCACATAAGTGGGGGTTCAAACATGACTACTGGGCCAGCAGGCAAGCCACAGCGCAAGCTCTAATAAAAGTCAATTATATCTCCATGGGGAAAAAAAATGAACTGCAAAGGTCAACAACAACAAAATAATTTCTCACTTGAGGTGTATTTGGTAGCTGCTTAATCACACATCCCTACAGAATAAACTAGTGTCAAACATGAGAGACAAAGTCTATGGATGCATATAAGGATTCTTCTTCTCTTTCTTCTCTATCTGCCCTTAAAAGAGCAGTTGGCACAACGTTTAATAAAAAGATATGTTTTTATGACGGATCAACATCATGGTACACGGGTGTAACCAATAAGTGCTCCATTCTACTTCTGACTCAAGCCTGAGTCTGAAGAATCTTGGTGCAGTGCATGAACTCCGCAGCACCGGCGGGGATCCTGAAATACTTAAGGTAGATTTGTAACTCCAAATTTTGCCAAGGCAGTGTCGTTAGGCTACTCTTTTCAATTTCCAAACGCCAAGGGATTTTTTACGTGCGCAACAATACACACAGGCGTCCGAACTTACTTCCCAGAGACCAGGGAAAACTACTAGAAGTCCACGTGAAAAATCCCAGCCTTCACTGTGGCGAGAACCCGGGACCTCCAGCAATCGAGGCCAACACCATACCTCGAGAGCACTCAGCTCCCCACAATGTACTGTGGCTTACAGATAATGTGTAATATCAGTGCCTTTTTACCCAACATGTCTGATTTCAAAAACATCCTTAAATAGTTTCCTGGTACCATATGCTTGTTAAGGTGCTGTGAATCTATTCCCCCTACTCACCCAGGGAAAATGAAACCCACACAGATACTAACATCTTCAGATGAGAAATTTGGACAGCCACTATCAGTTTTATGCTTCCCAGGGATCTAAGGTACAGCGTGATTATAAAAAAATATTTATAGTAAAAATCATGATGATACCTATGTGTATAATAAAAATCTAGATGATCAATAAATAGATTTTAAAAAACAAAGAATAAATGTTATTAAATTTACAAAACCTAAAATGTACATTGATGACAATAAGAGACTTGATATAACTGCAGTCAGAAACTAGGCCATCCCGGTTGTTATGATGCGACTACTTTTCCAGTGTCCTCCTTGCCTTTGTATCGGGCTTTGCCATAGGAAAATGGGAGATACCTGTATTTGATCATATGCTGGAGGGAAAATAACCATATAATTGATTTAAAAAACTGCTAAGACATCATCATCTTTTTTTTTTCACAACTCATGGAATGCCTTGCAGCATCAGGGCTAAGACATCAATATAACAAAACTGGGGTTGAATTCTACTTCATGTTAGCGCTCACTAGCTGTGTAATGCCAGTGGAGGAAGTTCTGGTTGTTTATCCACTTCTGGACTTCTTTAGTCTTGTCTCAGAACTTGAGTTTTGCATTCATATCCATTTTTTAGTTCTGGCATATTTGTATGCAGACTGCTGGTTCCTTGCCTCTCAGGCAGAGGCACTCCAACTTCATCGGAAGCGCCCCTAATTAGTGTATGTTTACAGCATAACTGTTTGAGGGTGGGTCTATTTATTATTCCTCCACAATGGGACCCTGAAACCCACAAGCTGGGGTTTGAGTTACAAACCAACATCATAGCACTCTGGAAATCTCCATAAATGCTAATTCCCCATCTTCAGCAGCTAGAGCAGAGTTCCAGTTTCACTGGTTCCAGTAGCAGTCTAATCATACAAAACCTGTAGATGCATGTTTCTATCTAAGGGCTGAGGACCATTATCTTGTCTTCTGTTTCTTCTTCTTTCGCGTTCCGAGCCCTTGAGGTTCATTGCTGCAGATATCACCCGCCTCCATTCATCTCTCTGGTTGGCCTTCTTTTTCCAGTTGATGACACTAAGTGTTTGCAGGTCTGTCTGGATATTATCTCTCCATCATTTTCTTGGTCGGCCTCGTAGTCTACGACCATTTATGTCCCTTGTGTATACAGTTTCTACTTCTCTGTCATCTGACATTCTTTGAATATACCCCAACCATTTCAGTCTATTAGCTCTCATGATGCCCGAGATCAGTAGTGATTTAAACAGATCATGAATTTCATTGTTGCTTCTTAATCTCCATTCACTGCTGTTTGCATCTTTGATGGGTCCAAAGATTTGTCGTAAGACCCTGTTTTCAAAAACCTGTAATAAGGCTTCATCTCTTTTAGCTGTGGTCCAAGTTTCAGAGCCTTATAAAATGACTGGTCTTATCAATGTTTTATATATTTTGATCTTGGTGTTACGTGACAGATACTTTGAAGAGGATGAGAACCATCACAGATAATAAAATGCATTAACCTTACCAACAAGAACAACTTTTGGATATGAGTCAAGGACTATTTCTCAATCTTTGAAGAAAGAAATCGTAGCATTTTAAATGAAATGCTACAGAAACTTTCTTAGAATACCATAGACAAATAAGAAGAAAAAACTCTGACATCCTACATGATCTAACCACCGAGGAGAACTGGCTCATAAACAGCACTCTGTCCTGAAAGCTAGGGTATTTTGGCAGTCATGGACAGAATGGTGTTGGAGGGTACAGTTGCCATGATGAGAGTCATGTTCTGGAAAGACCCTGCAGATTGAAGGTGATGTTGATGATGATGATGACCAACGAGGAAACCTAAAACAGGTACCAGGTCATGTGCTGGAAGTAAAGCGTGATGCAGACCACATTATCAACCATCAGGTGCTAAATGGTCTATAAAAACATGAGTCTAGCAGCACATGCCTCACAATTTACAAACGAGGTGAATCTCCTCGTTCCGTGGAATGCAATTTTTTTGAAGCCTAATTCTGGCTTTTGCCTGGGGCCCTAAATATAGCCGGGCCTGAAATATGGCCAAAAGGCTGAACGAGGTTTCTGGGACCTCTACACAGGTGATCCTCATCCGCACAGTGGCAGTTTGTGTCACCGGGTGTTTATCGCTCTGTGTGATGTTCTGGTAGGGTACAACTCACCTTCATACATACAGCAAATGTGCAACTGATGTAATAATGGTCTTCTTTTTAACATTTTTGTTTTAACGAACACAATATCTTTTTGTTTTTGTTTTTTGCATGCACTGGACAATGCAGACTCAACATACATCACCATTATCATCATCATGTAGCTTGTCCTTTGCAGAACGTCGCTCTCATCGGTCTGCCTGAAAGGAACTTGGTCTCTCACCAGCTCTCCCGCCTCGTGCACTTTGCTACTTAAGGGGTCCTGTACCCATCTTTATGTTGGTCAGCCCTTGTCTCTCTTTCCTGGTACCATGCCTTCTGCTATTGCTTTTCCAATCCACCATGACACTTGATATGACCGAAATATTTCAGCATCCGAGACAAGATGCTGTTTATTAGCCAATCTTCTTTGATGTTCAGATCTTTTTAATGGGCAGTATTTCTCCTCTTCTTTGTCCATGGTATTCTGAGAATATTTCTGCAGCATTTCTGCTCAAAAGCCCCATTTTCTTTCTTAAGGACTACTCAACACTCATATAAATTATGTTCTCTGCAGTGTCTTCATGTTGAACAGGCTTCGTCTAGCACGTCTTGCAAGACTGTGTTCTCCTGGAGGAGCTGTGAAGCAACATGTGGTCACACTCAGTAGACTAAGCTTTGGGGAAGCCTAAGAGACTCTGAGCTGACAATGAGAGACTGAGTTTCTTTCAGGTACAGTGGATTAAGCGCATGACCAGAAATTGCTGAAGAAGTTTTAACCAACAAGGAGAGAGAACAACTGGATTTTGGAGAAGCCTAAGATACTTTTAGCTGACATCCTAGTTTCTGGTACACAGTGGATAAAGCAGACAATCAAACATCACTGAAGAAGAAGGTTTAACCAACAAGGAAAGAGAACAACTGCACACAAATACAGTCTCAATTAATTAATAAAAGGACAGGAAGTCAAATACTGTACCACTGCAATCAATAATATTTTGGATATTTCCTAGTCGAAGTTTGTGTTGCGTTAGTTTATTTCTTCATAAATATTCTGAGGCCTACAACAACGTGGCGGCTATAGGAATTGCTTTCCACACAATGGGGCCTCGGAAGCCACATGGGGAATGACGTCAGTGATGTTGTTCCTTTGTATGGAAACTTAAGGGACACCCGTAGATAACAGTTTAGGTTTAGACAACGAATCAACATCATGGCACAAGGGGTAACCCATCAGTGCTCCTTTCTACTTCTGATTCAAGCCTGAGTCCGAAGAACCTCAGCGCAGTGAGGGATAGCACCGGCAAGGATCCTGAAATGTTTTTAACTCTAAATTTTGCCCGGGCAGCGCTGCTAGGCTACTCTTTTCAATTTCCAACTGCCAAGAGAATTTTTTTTTTTACGTGCGTAACAATTCACACGGGCATCTAATCTTACTACCAAGAGACCAGGGGAAATTACTAGAAGTCCACGTGAAAAAAAATCCCAGCCTTCACATGAGCCTAAATCCAGGATCGCCAGCACTTGAGGCGGATGCAATGCCTCGAGACCACACAGATAAAAGTAAAAACAATAAAGTGAAAACAAAAATAGACAAGTTCAGAGTTATAGGAAACTGCAGGCACTCACTTTTATCTGGTTTTTCATGGTCAGCGTGAAGAGTATGATGAAGTACATCACCAGGATGGGCCAGAAGACTGGGATGTTCAGGGCATCAAAAAAGGTGCAGATCACCGCCACCGAAACAGCTTTAGTGAACGAGTACCTGTTGGAGATTACACAGAAACAGGACACTTCTTAAATCTTTGCTTCAGTAGCTGTCTTGTCATCTTAAGTCTTTGCTTCAGTAGCTGTCTTGTCATCTTAAGTCTTTGCTTCAGTAGCTGTCTTGTCATCTTAAGTCTTTGCTTCAGTAGCTGTCTTGTCATCTTAAGTCTTTGCTTCAGTAGCTGTCTTGTCATCTTAAGTCTTGTCTTCAGTAGCTGTCTTGTCATCTTAAGTCTTTGCTTCAGTAACTGTCTTGTCATCTTAAGTCTTGTCTTCAGTAGCTGTCTTGTCATCTTAAATCTTTGCTTCAGTAGCTGTCTTGTCATCTTAAGTCTTTGCTTCAGTAGCTGTCTTGTCATCTTAAGTCTTTGCTTCAGTAACTGTCTTGTCATCTTAAGTCTTGTCTTCAGTAACTGTCTTGTCATCTTAAGTCTTTGCTTCAGTAACTGTCTTGTCATCTTAAGTCTTGTCTTCAGTAACTGTCTTGTCATCTTAAGTCTTTGCTTCAGTAACTGTCTTGTCTTCTTAAGTCTTTGCTTCAGTAACTGTCTTGTCTTCTTAAGACTTTGCTTCAGTAACTGTCTTGTCTTAAGTCTTGTCTTCAGTAACTGTCTTGTCATCTTAAGTCTTCACTTCAGTAACTGTCTTGTCTTCTTAAGTCTTTGCTTCAGTAACTGTCTTGTCTTAAGTCTTGTCTTCAGTAACTGTCTTGTCTTAAGTCTTGTCTTCAGTAACTGTCTTGTCTTCTTAAGTCTTTGCTTCAGTAACTGTCTTGTCTTCTTAAGTCTTGGCTTCAGTAACTGTCTTGTCTCCTTAAGTCTTTGCTTCAGTGTCTTGTTTTCTTAAGTCTTTTCTTCAGTAACTGTCTAGTCTTCTTAAGTCTTTGCTTCAGTAACTGTCTTGTCTTCTGAAGTCTTCGCTTCAGTGACTGTCTTGTCTTTTTAAGACTTTGCTTCAGTAACTCTCTTGACTTCTTAAGTTTTGGCTTCATTACCTGTCTTGTCTTGCTCAGTCTTATTTTGTGCTACCGTGACCTCTTTTGTCTTGTCCTGTCTTGTAATATTGTATCCTGACCTGTACCATCTTGCACTGCCATATCATATCCTGACCTGCACGGTTCTATTTTATACGGACCTGTTTTATCCTGTCCTGTTTTGCATGTCTTGTCCTGACCTGCGTCATCCCATGTTATACTGTCCTGTATTATCCAGTCGTATCATGTCCTGCTTTGGTGTCTTATCCTGACCCATATTGTCCTGCTATATCATTATCTCCCCTGTTCTGTCTTAGCCTGACCAGCTTTGTCTGTCTTATCCTGACCTGACTGTCCTGTCAATTGTATCCAGACCTACATTACCATATTATCCTGACTTTACTGTTCTGCCATTTTTTTTATCTTGACCTACATTATATTATCCTGACCTGACTGTCCTGTCATGTTTATCCTGACTTACATTGTTCTACAGTATCCTGACCTGACTATTCTGTCATTTTTATCCTGACCTGCACTACCCTGTTTATCCTGATCTGCAGTGTCCTGTTTAACCTGTTATTTTTATCCTCTCATTATATAACAACCTGGAATTACATGTGCATTTTTCACCAAGGTCCTCCTTTTTTAATCACATGTTGTTTTACTGGGGCTCTTGCCATATAGTTAAAGGTGGGGGTATGGGGGCCTTGCCATATAGTTAAAGGTGGGGGTATGGGGTCTTGCCATATAGTTAAATGTGGGGGTGTGGGGTCTTGCCATATAGTTAAAGGTGGGGGTGTGGGATCTTGCCATATAGTTAAAGGTGGGGGTGTTGGGTCTTGCCATATAGTTAAAGGTGGGGGTGGGGGTCTTGCCATATAGTTAAAGGTGGGGGTCTTGTCATATAGTTAAGGGTGGAAATGGGGTGGGGGGCGCACCTGAAAAAAGTTGGAGACCACTGATTTGAAGATTTGAACAGACTTACTCTGCAAGGAAGCCGGGGGAGATGTTCTGTATGGCGACTCTTACCTGCCGGTGACTATGTCACAGAATTTTGCCCTGCCCTGAACCTTAAACATGGTGCTGTAGGCAGTAAAGATCTTTAGTTTTTGCAAAAACCTTGATAAATTAACAAAATACTAGTGAGGAATAAAACAAAAATACAATGCTAACCAGAATTTAAACTCTGGCAGTCTCCGCAAGAATGGCCGAAATTCTTCATTATTTTTCGTAGGTAACGATGGCCCATCTTCTGGATCAACTGAAATATTCAGAATAATAAAGTAAGAATGTAACACTACATGTCGACAGCAGTATAAAAGTGTAAATTATTTATATCATTGACCAACTATCGATGTCTACACTAAAGATGGCTTGTGGCTCATAACATTAACACAGAGATGATACATTTGGCTAATGGCAAATAGTTATCTCTGTTTTAGGCTTTTCTGCAAATGTGGATGAGTCATAAACCAAATTATGGTTAGAAAGATAGATGCATGGGCAAACAGATGGTTAGAGAGACAGGCATGCAAGCAGACAGAGGCAGGCATGCAAGCAGACAGACTGGCTAGCAAGTAGGTATGTAGGTAGAACAAACAAACAAAAAGGACTAAAGATGACCTCGAGTCAGCAAGTGAACAAGGACTTGATGTAATCGCCGCTCAACTACTAAGGAGCAGATATTTTTTTTAAAGTCAGTTTTATCATCTTCTAACTATCAAATTGAATCCAGTAGTTAAGAATGTAGGTAGTTTAAGCATCTAGACAGTTAAGTAGGTAGGTAGATAGGGAAGTGAATAGGTGAATAGGGGTACACAGGCCTAAGGTAATCATAGGGCTAGATCTATGGCTGAGTTGAGAGGCAGAAGGGCCTGAGAATTCATAGCAAAAGCTTTTTCTTCGTCTTTATGTTCACCAGCTGTAAGTTCTGGTTGTTCATCCACTTCTGGTCTGTAGTCCTGTTCCAGAACCTGAGTGTTCCATGTGCATATGTTTTACACATCTTACTCATTTGTATGCAGACTAATGGTTCCTTGTCTCTTGGCAGATGCACTCCACCTTCAAAAAGATCACATTTATGTGACTTTTTTAAACATGTTTTTGCTTAGTCAGTGGGGCTATTCTTGTTTTCCCTACAACAGGGCCCTGGAACTCACAAGAGGAGCAGCAAAAGCAAATTGACGACATTAGGGCAGGGAAGCCTTTTATATGAAAACGCAACATCTAGTTTGAGAATGGAGGTAGATGCAGTCATTCAATCCCTTGCTGGCTTCACACACGTTTTTGTAACTGACTCATAAATAAAGCAGGCTGAGAAAAGTGGAGCTAGGTATGCTCCATGCAGAGTGGCAAGCATCGCTTCAGAGGTGCAGTGTAGTTAGTATCCTTTGGATATTTTTTTTTCCCAGGATATGTAGGTGTTTTGGGAAATGAACAAGCAGGCAGACTAGCTAGTTCTGCACCACCACTCAGTGGTAAACTGATTCATGACAAGCTAGATGCAGTCGAGGCCCTTTGGAAGCGAGTGAACAGTATGGTGGTACAATTAGATCACCATGGTATGAGGAGAATGGTGCAATGGGAAGTGACCAGGGGATCTGGCCAACAAACCACACTCAGAGGAAATGCAAGACAGGCATACAATCAGCTTGCTAGTGATAGCACCAGAGTTATAACTCTGCACTGGCTGCTGAAGATGGGGATGGAGTGCTTATGAGAATGTCTCAAGTGCTGTGATGTCAGTTCTTAACACTCATCTCAACCCCATGCTGGATGATACTGCCACCAAATGACCCTCATAGAAAATACCAAATAGAATTAGCAGCTCTCCCTTGATAAACTGTAACTTGCTGACTTTACTTCCTATAATCTACAACCTGTGAAAAATTAACACATGTGAAATGAGATACCTGAGAAATGCCACCAACTTAACTATCTGTGACAAAGTCAGAAATGATATCCGACACACTGGTAACAACACCGATGATGATGATGAAGTATACAGCTTCGTAAAGCTAGATAAAGTTGTCAACAAATGACGCCTTGAGAAACTACCAACCAGACTTTTCAGCATTTCTACAGATATTTGTAACTGTGAATCAACGTTCTTCTTACCAGAATCCTCGATGCCAGCTGGGTCAATCTTAGGTGTCAGGAAGGCAATAAACAGATTCAGCAGATATATGCCCAGTGCATATGTTACAATGTACCAACCCTGGATTCATGGACAAAAAGCAAAAAGTTAATAAGTGCCACTGCGAAACGAGGGAGAGTTACAAGGAGATCACATAGCAAAGGGAGCCGCATTACCACAATCGATAGGAGACTCACTTTCAAATCCAACTGCGACTTGCTGCAGCCCTCAGCCAGTGTTCGAAAGCGGGCGGTTCCCAGGGTTCACCCAGCCTCTAGGTGATGGTTACCAGAGTTAAAACTCTGGGGCAAATGGAGGAACATGATGCTGTAGCTACGGAGTTTCGTGCAGACTGAACACAGGCAGACAGTTTTTTTTTAATCAGCTGTCAGTACTGGTGGCAGAGCACGTATGGTTTATAACTGTGTGCAATGATGCTGGCTCACATCTCCTGACTTTACCTTTACATAGCAAAGGATCTTTTCCATGCCATTAGCTTCTTCTTCATTTGTCCTACTGCTTATGCCGCAAAGCATCGCAGAGGAGTTTTACTTAGTTCATTGCCATTTACAAGTTGAGAAGCTTGTGTTAATGTCATACTGCATTCCCGCAATATCTCATTTACTCCCTCAGCCCATCTCTTTCTTGGTCAGCCTCTTGCCTTGTAGCCTGCTGTTCTCACTTAGTACGCTCTAGTTGCTGGCTGATTTTGTTCCATTCTGACCAGATGACTAAACCATTTGATTCTGAGATGTTCTAGGGAATCATTCACCGGTTCTGTGCCTATTATTGTTTTCAGTTTTCCAGTGTTGACTGTGCCTCTTTTTGTTTGGTTCTGCCACATATCTTCAACATCACATCCCACATGTTGTCATTTTGTGTTTACATTTTTCAAGGACTGTACAGGACCGGCTCCAGCTGACAGGCCATGCTGCTGACGTCATCGGGTCGGGTTAATGATGCGTTAATGCAGCAGTTCTCCCCCAGGATGGCAAGGCACCCGGGGGTGCTGTGAGCATTTGAAAGGGGAGCCGCGGCAATAATCAAGAAACGTCGGCTAAAAATTGTGAAATTATTAAAGAAGGTACGTAGATCCTTAAAAGTTTAAATTTAAGTTGTCTTTCCTCGCCATTGTAGAAAATAGTTTATTTCGTGTTTGAGAATCGCGGTGTTAACGCATCGTTAGCCGACTCGGTGACGTCAGCAGCACGGCCCATCAGCTGGAGCCAGTCAAGGACTGTCCATGTCTGGCACTGACAGCACAAAGTTGGTATGAATAGCTCATTTATCAGCTGTTTTTTTTGGTGTGCATAGTGATATTTGGCACCTAATCTTTTTCTGTTCTTTCACTTTCAATGGAGCACTTGTCCCTAACCTCTTGAAGTACAAAAATACACACTGTGTGTGACTGACTGTGTGTGACCCATGTGCATCAGTAAACATGTGAATGTTTGTACATCTTACAAATGAAAAAAAAAAAGTAAAGGTCCCCTTTCCACGCCTTTAGGCGTATAGGGCATATAGGGCTAGACCTATATTTTTTTATAGATCAATCGGCACAAGATGGGTGATGTGGTCAGGACTGCACTCGGTACCCACTTAAGGCCGGGTCGACCTGGGAGTAAAGGTCATTTGTGAAAAAAGGTCAGGCTCCGCCTGGGAGCAAACCCACGAACTTCCGATCTGCACACGAGCGTCTAGCTGCTACGCCACGGTGACTCCCATCTTACATATAGTCAAGGCATACTCTACTTCAACGCTATTCAAACGGCAGCCCGCGGAGGCCTAGTAAAGGACCCGCTGCTTATTGCCAGTTGTACTGTTACAATAATCTTTCTTTGCTGGGGTTAGGGTCTCTGGCCTGTAATGATTCCCAAAAGTCAAAATGTTGGCCCCTGAGCAAACTTAGTTGAATTGCCCTGCTCTACTATTTAACACCACTGTCTCCAACAGTCTGATATGTATTTAGTTCCTGCGGATGTAGTATACCTATGACAGTGTTGCTGTGTCACTCTTGCATTAGCTATAACGTTTTGGGACATAAAGAGTCAACCAACCTACACCAAGTAGCTTAACCCTATGTAACTGTTTGCAGCTACTGCCCCCAATGATGTTACCCCCCCCCCCCCCCCCCTTTGTGATGGCGCATCTTTATTAGTTGATGGGAAAGCTTGTTTGCCAAGACACTACTGATGACCCAGATGCAAAAGAGCTTTTCACCTGATTGTTTGAACCCAAGGAATTTGTGTGTGTAATTTTAACAATTTAACTCCCCATGAATCTCGGAGACCTTGAGATTGAGACAAAGAGATCTTAAATGTCAAAATTATGTTCCTTTCAGGTAGCTTTTTTGTTTAGTAGAATATATACATACACACACACAAACACACACAGAGAAAATTAAGGTAGACTACTCCAAACAGAAGCCAAAACAGAATCTCAAAGATTAAATGTTGAAGCCCCCAGGCCAGGCAGATCATCTAACGCGAACTGAGGAAGAGATGCTGCCTTCTCTCTCCATCCTTTTTCAAAAATACTTTGGAATTATGAGAACTGCAATTACTGTAAAGGCCTGTGACACTGATACACTCCTATTGAACACAAAATCACAAGTGAATGCAAACCTATTCCAGAACCCAGAAATGCAGACGACACAGTTCTCCTTTTCAAAAGTACATAGGGCTTGAAAATTTAATTCTGAACATCCCAAAGTACAGTAAATAAGAGAATATTTTTTTGTGAATTTGAAGGGGAAAAAAGTTGTGGCAAAGAAGAAATTTGGTCCTCGGCATTATATACCTAAAGACAACAGTGGTACACTAGCCAGCCTTTTCTGTGGAGACGGTAGATAATTTACATCTAAATATATGCAAGGAAATGTTCTGGGAAGTAAAGGCAGTCAGTGTGACCCTGACCACATTACTGATTGAGTGCTCATAGGTCTAACACCATGGGCCCATTGCTCAAATCAGGTGAAATGGGTCCTTTTTCACTGTATTTATACAAACTGTCTGACCGATAAAACGGCCAAAAAAACGTTCGGTCCCTAACAACAACTGAGTTAAATAATCAATGAAAGACACTGTGAAATAATACAATATACCAGTGGCTCCCACTCGGGGTCCTCAGAATAAATTTACATAACCCTTGACAAGTAGGATTGTGGAGGTGTATCAACGGAAGAACTAGCACAACGAAAATCACAATCTTTCTTTGTCTTCTGTTTGCTCAATAAGTGTATAATAATTTAGTCCTATCCATCTCTTATCTAACTGGGAATCCCTGCTACAGAATGGGAAACTTACTTGTAAAATGTAGACTCTAATGCTGTAAGCGAGAAACAGAAATACAGCAAACACCCATCTCGCTGTTCCATGTGGGGTGACTCTGTCTAGGTAATACTGATGCCTCTGAAAAATGGAGAGAGCAAAAAAAAATGTTCAAAGCCATCAGGCTGTTATGAAAATCAATAAGCCTAAATGCTCTATCAGAATTGTGGGTATCAGAATCGTGTGTACCGATTGTAGGTTCAATGCTGACTGACTGACTGATCAACTGAGTGAGTAATTAAATCAATAAAAATTCAGTATCAATAGTCTATGATTAACTGAACAAAATCAGTTTGAATAATCTTTGAATTATTCAGTAAAATCAACAAGAACAGTCCATGATTTGTTGAGCGAAATCAGTATCAATGGTCTTTAATTAATTGAGCAAAATCACCATCAATGACTTATTGAGAAAAATCGACTTCAACAGTTTATAATTTATTGAGTGAAATTGGCATCAATAGTGTATGATTTATTGAGCACAATTGGCATCAATAGTGTATAATTTATTGAGCACAACTGGCATCAATAGTGTATGATTTATTGAGCACAATCGGCATCAATAGTGTATGATTTATTGAGCACAACTGGCATCAATAGTGTATGATTTATTGAGCACAATCAGCATCAATAGTGTATGATTTATTGAGCACAACTGGCATCAATAGTGTATGATTTATTGAGCACAATCAGCATCAATAGTGTATGATTTATTGAGCACAATCGAAATCAATAGTGTATGATTTATTGAGCACAATCAGCATCAATAGTGTATGATTTATTGAGCACAATCAGCATCAATAGTGTATGATTTATTGAGCACAATCAGCATCAATAGTGTATGATTTATTGAGCACAATCAGCATCAATAGTGTATGATTTATTGAGCACAATCAACATCAATAGTGTATGATTTATTGAGCACAATCGGCACCAGCGGCCTATGATTTATTAAGCAAAATTAGCATCAGTGGTCTATGATTTATTTTGCTAAATCAGCATCAAAAGTGCATGATACTCTGAGCAAAATCGTATTTTTTTCTCTGCTTCTTCTATTAGTGCAGAGCAAAACATGTAAATTTATTTACCAGTACATATAACATTCATCCACAATATGTTTAAATCGCCCTTAATTACTGGTATCATTAGAGTTAATAGACTACAATAGTTGGGGCATACACAGAGAATGACAAACAACAGAGAGAGGAAAAACTGTGAAAACTAAAGCGCTAAATAGGGAAAGACTGTGAGGCAGACCAAGAGAAATAATGTGCATGCAGAACTACAAATGCTCGGAGTCACCAACAGAAAAGGGCAATCACAAATATGAATGGAGGTGGGTAATACCTGCATCAATGAACCTCGATGGCTTGGAATGCTAAGGAGGAGGAGGAGGAGGAGGAAGAAGAAGGTCTGAGGTTTGAATAACGGATCAACATCATGGCACACATGTAGTAACCCATAAATGCTCCGTTCTTTCTTCTTAATCAAGCCTGAGTAAAAAGAAGCTCAGCACAGTGCACAGGCTCTGTAGCACTGGCGAGGATCCTGAAATACTTTGGGTAGATTTTAAACTCCAAATTTTTGCCTGGGCAGCACCGTTAGGATACTCTTTTTCGATTTCCAACTGCCAAGGGATTTTGTACGTGCACAACACAGCACACGGGCATCCGATCTCGCTACCCAGAGACCAGGGAGAATTACTAGAAGTCGAAGTCCGCGTGAAAAAATCCCAGCTTTTACCGCGGATTGAACCAGGAACCTCTAGCACTCGAGGCGGACACCCTGCCTAGAGACCACGCAGCGCTCTAAGAAAAAGAAGAAATAATATAAGCTGTGACAGCTTCTATATACCAAACAGACTAGCTTGAGTTAACACCCACACAAGGTCCTTTGTATCTTGTTATAAGGGCAGACAAATATGTTGGGAAATGAACATACAGACAGTTCTGCACCACTAGGGGATGGATGACTTGATGCATAACAAGGCAGATGTGATAAAAGCTGTCATTTGGGAGAGCATGAACAATGTAGAAAATCAAAACAGATTATCACAGTATAAAAAGACTGGCATTATCTCCAGGATCTGGCATCCATGCCACACTCAAAGAAAAGGCGAGACGACCATATAATCAGATTGCAGCCGACACCATCAGCACTGAAAATCTGCGCTGGCCACTGAAAATGGGGATAAAGTGTTTATGAGAAGATTTTGAATGCTGTGATCTCCACTCAACCCAATACAAACTCCACCCAACCCAATACAAACTCCACTTAACCCAATACAAACTCCACCCAACCCAATACAAACTCCACTTAACCCAATACAAACTCCACTCAACCCAATACAAATAATGTTGAATTATGAATTAAGAATCGACACCACAGCACATGGGACATTCCCATATGCGCTCTATTTCCAACTTCAGCAGTAAATGAAGAGTTCCAATTCCGGTGGTATCATTAACTGCCAACTCAATACAAGGTTCATAAATATGAGCACCATGAATGCTGAGAACTGTTGCAACAATATATTTCTTCTTAGCATTCACCGACTGTAAACTCCGGCAGAAAGTTATTGTTGTTTGTCCATTCCTGGACTTCTGGCCTTGTTCTAGAACTTGAGTTTCACATGCACATCCACTTTACAAATCTAACTTATTTGTATGCGGAGGCTGTGTGGTCTCGAGGCATGATGGAAATCGTAAAGAGAGCCTAACAGCACTGCCGGGCAAAGTTTTGAGACTCAGACTTAGTTAAAAGAAGAACGGAGCACTTATGGTTACTACCTGTGTGCCATGATGTTGATCCGTTGTTAAAAACCTCAAAACTTAATTGTGTGCAGACTGCTGGTACCTCGCCTCTTAGATACACTTAAACTCGAAGGAAAACCCTGCATCTGCCTATTTTAACAACATGCCTGTTAAGAGGGGTGGCATCTGTGGCATAGACGTGGTGACGCACTTTGTAATTTCAAGGATGGTTCGACAGTGGTGTCCAAAGCCGACCTTCCAGAAAGAAATGGCAAACTACTGAATGTAAAATTGCCTTGTGAAATCACCAACACATAAACAATACAGATATAAATAAAAAATATTTTTGTAGGAGGGAAAAGTGGGTCTTTTCAAGGTAGGAGCTATAGAAGATCATATATGTCAGAACTAAAAATATACAAGACAAAAGGTTGTGGAAAGACATGGTTATCAACACCACACAGCACAGACCATCGACTCCAACTGCATTAATGTTAATGCCATTACTCTGGGCAAGACAAGCTAAAATACTTACATTGGAGATGGTCTTGTAAAGTCTGTAGGCTGTTCCTGGGGATGACGGGGCTTCATCTGAGACTGCCATTGTTTAACTGTTCAGAATATGAAGGCAAAATTCAAACAGCAACCTCTGCTTTATATATATTTATATATGTGTGGATAATAGAAGGATGGCCATAGCAATGCAAAGATTAAACAGTGTTAAAAGTCTATGGTTAAGCACCAGCAAGGAAATCAAAATTAAAATTTTGACAGCATGCATTGTCCCTGTAGCAACATACAGATGTGAGTTGTGGACTATCTCCCAGTCCTTAAGAGGAAAAAAATAGGAGCTTTTGAGCTGAAATGTTATATTTCCATCTTGTCCTTGATCTGCTTCATGATATACCAGACATATCATACTGTTGTAGAGTTTCTCTGATGTTGTATTTCCATCTTGTCCTTGATCTGCTTCATGATATATCAGACATATCATAATGTTGTAGAGTTTCTCTGATGTTTATATTTCCATCTTGTCCTTGATCTGCTTCATGATATATCAGACATATCATACTGTCGTAGAGTTTCTCTGATGTTATATTTCCATCTTGTTCTTGATCTGCTTCATGATATATCAGACATATCATACTGTCGTAGACTTTCTCTGATGTTATATTTCCATCGTGTTCTTGATCTGCTTCATGATATATCAGCCATATCATACTGTTGTAGAGTTTCTCTGATGTTATATTTCCATCTTGTCCTTGATCTGCTTTATGATATATCAGCTATATCATACTGTTGTAGAGTTTCTCTGATGTTATATTTCCATCTTGTTCTTGATCTGCTTCATGATATATCAGACATATCATACTGTCGTAGAGTTTCTCTGATGTTATATTTCCATCTTGTTCTTGATCTAACTAGTGCTCCATGTCCCTCTTCTTTTTTGGTGTCTGCCTTGTATGAGTGAGGATGTGTTATCTGAGTGAATACTGATGTGTGATTCTGTAAGTGAATAATGATATATTACCGTATATATTTTTGTGTAGAAGAACCCTTTTCCCCATATGTTTTTAGTTTAAAAAGAATGTGTTTAAAATATGTATTTGTTTAATTTTTGGCTTGCAAAAATACAGGTAGTTTTTAACATGGAGACTTCTTATACAAAGGAAAATATGGCCATTTTTTTAATTTTGCCTACTAGCCTGGTCGTCTTGCTTCTGAATCTACATCGATTTTGATAAATAACTTAAGCTTCAGGCTGACCCAGCCTAAAATGGGTGAAGGAATGTTTGTGTTTTTTTTTTTTTTGGTTGCTCTAAGAGAATACTGATGCATGGTTCATTAATAGTTTGTGCAATACATATTCATGTGATTCCCAATGATGTGACTAGATAACTGACTGCCAACCCAAAGGTCTTCTTCTTCCTATTCTGTGTACATCGGAAGATGTAAATATGGCTGTGATGTTTGCACCTTTGGGATGACACAACCAACTTATACAGGCACTTATTAGACAGGTTAGCCTTTCTAGTTAGTTTTGTTGATGGTTGCAAGTCTTATTGTTGTGTGATCATCTTTGTTTCCTAGTTCACAGATGCTGCCCTTATCAGACTCGTCCAGAAGAGCCAAATAAAGCTGGTGAGCCCTCCAGAGAATGCACGGCAGACCAGGAGCATTCCCTGGCATCGAAGAACCTGGGATTTTGATTACCGACACAATATGTGTGCTTTTTATGCATGTTAGACTTTTTCTGTAGCCGACTTTGTATCCACAACAGTTGCCTAAAGGTGTTATGTCTGAATTTACATTGGGGGAAAATTTCATTATTAACCTAAAAAATACTGGGGCTTCATCTTCTTCTTTTGTTCACCTGAAATAAGTTGTCTATATCAGCAGTTTTGTCCCCTGTATAAATTTCACTGCCGTTGTTAGCTCATTCAGCGGTCCATAGAATTTATGTTCCACTGTTGATCTTTCTGGCCAAAAGGTTTGCCTTAATGTGTCAAATTCGGTGCAGTCCTGGAGTACATGCTCTGCTGTCTGGGGCACATTTCCACAGGTGAACATGGCTGATACACCTATCTTGAATTTTGTGTACTTGTGGTTACGTAATCGGTTGTGCCATGTTCTGAGGCGGAGGATAATGACTTTTTCTGGTCTATCCATAATAAAATAGTTGTCTTGTGCTGGGGCTGGTGGTTTCCTAACTGGGGCCTCATGATATGATATCCTAAAGACAGAACTGGATGCACTGCAGCCGAAATTAAGTTTAGAGACTGCATAAAATTTGTGAATGACAAATTAAAGCAGCAGTTTTCAAGCCGGGGGATGCAAGGAATGTTCAAGGTGGACGTCGAGTGATTTTGAAACTGAGACTCATAATCATCTTTCAGTTTGAACCATAAATATTTATTAAACTATTCGTAAACTAAAAAGCCAAGGATTTTTTTAATGAGCAGTTTATACAGCAGAAATTAGCAAGGTAAAATAGTTTAAACCATCACATTGATATCTGCACACTAAACTGCCAGCTGTTGGTGACTGTTTCCTTTATGTAATAGTATTAGAACTAGTAGTAGTAGGTAGTAGTAACGGGTGGTGGTAGCAGTAGCAATAGTAAGTAGCAGTAAACAGTAGTAACAGTAGCAAACAGTAATAGCACTAGTAGTGTAGCAGTTTTTAGTATTATTAGTAGCAAGTAAGCAGTAGTTTAATAAGTATTAAGTAGCAGCAGCAGTAACATACTAATTAGTAGTAGTAGTAGTTAAGTAAGTAGTATAGTAGAGTACTAGTAGAAGCAGAAGCAGCAGTAAATAAGTAGTATTAAGCAGTAGTAATAGAAAGTAACAGTAGTAGTACTAGTACTTAGCAGTATCTAATACAGACAAAACAAGCCAAAGCAAAACAAATTAAAGATCTAAGCTGTAGGAACAAATTCTATTCATTCCATTTCCAGTCAAGATTTCTAGGAAATTTTCTTCAACTTGAAGATCAATACCGTAGACTCATAGAGCAGTTGCTAAGGTTCCCTTCTCTTAACACTTAACCCCAACATAATTTAATTTGCAAACTCAAGTCTATGTCTTCAGAATTTAGATATCAGATCAGAGGTCACAAAAGACAACAGAATATCTAAAACAAGCATACAGTGGATATGAACTTGGCTATCGCAACAAATAAATCAGTAGATCAGGTGCCGGTGCTAGAACTAGATGGAAGAAGAATAAAATAAAAGTCGACAGTCGAAAATAACCAAGCCAAAAAAAATGTATCTGAAATAAGTGTATGGTATGAGCTTCGACTCTGAACACCAAAACTAAACATTCTATCTCTGTGGTACATGACTGCGATAACTGTCGGATAGAAAACGAACAGAAATGAAACTGAACCTTCAACGATCAGACCCGAAGCGCAAGACGAATCGAAGGTGGAACCAGAAAAAGAGCAAGTCAAATGACGTCATTCATTTCATTCACTTTCAGTAGGTGCCTAAAACTAACTACAGGCTTCCAGGCTCAGACAGAACCAAACTAATTTAACTAAACATCCCCCTCTCTGGTGGTTGCGATAAATTTCACATAGTTGAAACAAATGTTTAGCAATTACACGTTACCTGTAAAATTGCTAGGCGACTTCTTGCCTTAGTCAACGAAATCAATCGGATATATTATTCACTCACATACTAGCCACGTTGAAGTGCATCTACATAACTAAACGGAAGTCGCCATTTTAGTTCGGCTATTAGACTAACCTCACCTGACTTGAATAGTAGGGAAACAGAAGTAATGGTAATTACAGAGAAAACTGACCCTCCAAAATGCGACATCGAAGTAAATGGGAAAGACCGTAAGCAAGCTGCTAAGTGTAAGTACTTGGGCACCCTGACAACATCAGATCGAAGATGTATTAAATAAGTGTAATGTCGAATAGCTCAAGCAAAGGCAGCATTTTACAAAATGAAGAATATTTTATGCAATCTTTCTTTGCACTTGAGACGAGAAAGAGAATTCTTAAAAGCTATGTAAATCCTATATTGATATATGGATGTGAATCATTGACAGTTCATAAATTAATGAAAACTTATTTGGAAGCTGTGAGGGATGGGGGTTTTATAGACGAATGATGAGAATACCCTGGACAGATAAAAAAAAAAAGAGTAATGAAGATGTCTTGAGAGAAACTGGCTCGCGACGAGAACTGATTACACACATCAGAAAGAGACAATCTACATTCTTTGGGCATGTCATAAAAAAAGGAGAAAACTGAGTACATCGTGACGGTAGGAAGGTTGGAAGGGAGGAGATGAAGAGGGAAACCGAGAGAACAGATACAGGACAGTTTGACATCATGGTATGGAAAGTAATCTGGGTCAGGGTTTATTGAAAGTACTCGAGACAGAAGGTTGTGGATGACTTCATTCGGCTCCTGTTTTCGATGGCACAGAAACAGCAACTAGGAGGTGACCCGTTTGCTATGAAGTTGTAATGTGATTGCCTGATTATTTTACTGTATCAGGTGGCGAGTGCCGGTTGACCTACTAACACTACTGTCACGTGCGCCAGATAAAAAAAGAAATAGAAGAAGAGTCCCAGCCATCTAGTTTAGGCCCCCTCCTCGCGTAGCGGCGAGGGATACTCTAGGCGGTGGTGGTATAGACGCCGGAAAGAGGTCCACAATTTACATATGACTGAGGCCCTATTAGGGTATTTTCTTAGCCTCGATTATTTTGGACCGTTATTCGGAGGATAGCTAAAAAAAAACTTTGAAGTTTGATGGAAATTACATGAATCGTGCCAATGTCTTATGACCTGTCAATATTGTTGTCAAACGGATGCACACGCATCACTCAGGTTCTAGATCAGGGCTGCAGTGGACGAACAACCAGAACTTTCCACCAGAAATTACAGTTGGTGAACGCAAAGAAGAAGAAGAATATTGTTGTTAACAATGACAAGAGTGTTACACAAGACGGACACTGCGTTGATGACGATGATCACGGTCAACCTCACCAGGACATCACACCGAGCGGTGAACACCCGGTGACACAAAGTGCCACCGTTCGGATTAGGATTACCCGGGGACAGGTCCTAGAACCCCGTT